CGGTTGTCTTGAATAGGGTTGGATCTGGTTTCGGGTAACACATTATTTATTAACAACATTATGTATACACTGGTAAGCAGTAAATCTTAAATAAACAACTGGGGGAATTGAGGAAGTCGAAGCTGGGAAACAAACCTGTGACGGTGAGTCCTAAGGCTGTTCCTGTTCACGGTACAAATCACGTATCGATACAAAACAATACAGTTATATATTAGTAAGATAATACACTCTGTCAGCATGCACTGACTTGTAGCCAGTTTTGCGTATGGATTCATATATAATTAACATGTTATGGTTGGGGTCATTCATCATCTGCCATGATGGCACCTGTCTCAGTACAGGCTACAGCGGTAATGTCCATTATATCGTGAATGGCTACAGACAGACTAGACATGCCTATGCCATCTTTACCACAGTAAATGTAACACAACCACCAGGCTGTACAGCATGATCCCAACATTTGTTAAATTAACAAGATATATTCATGATGCACAGTATTATTTCATTTTATCATCAAGTCTCTATTATGGTGTTGTGATCGTCACTCCAATACTTCAACATAGACTTACGACAGTCGTAGCGCTACGATTGCTTTGAGGAACGAGGCCCTAGCTTGTTTCCTAACCTGGTATATCCACTTAATGGACACCTGACTGTTTCTGTAAGTGAATTTAGAAAATGGCGTGATGAACAAAGACCTGTTACCAAGGAAAAGCAGCTTCATAACTACAGCATAGCGTAGTCGGCGTTTTGCTGTAATTTCCAACACCTTCTATGAAGCAAGTGTCTCTGTCAAAGCTCGTTCCACTAAGCTATGACCACCCTCACAGTCAGGACCATTAATTTTGAAGTTGTGTTATATCAGTTACGGCTGTATTCACGCAATTGGGTCATAGAGTTGGAAGGTATTAACGTAAACAATATTCAAGACAAAAAATTGAGTAACATGTGATAATGATATTGACGTTCTACTATGTGTTCACTGTAATGATATACGGAAAATGTAATCAAACAGTAATATTGAATAAACCTTCAATAATTAAGATAAGAAACAACGTTCAACAGTTTTCCCATGTTTTAGCGTTTAACATGTTACCAACAATTAGATTTAGAATCTTGTTATAGACATTTTAAGAAAAATAAAGATCGTATTTGTATTTCTCTACACATTATATACCTCAGTGTCAAGATGATGTTTGCTGTGTCTCGACTTCGCCGAACGATTGTAGTTAACGAACGATAAACAGTGAGCTCAAGGTTTATACAGAACTGAACTGAAGTGAAGTCCCTTGCTTCAGCAAACGGATAGGCATTTTTCAGCGCACAACATAATTCTTCATACGACAGACGCGCTGTCTGTTGCTATGTGTCCGACTACGAGATACAAAACACAAGTCATATTATGATTATTATATGGGTAGAACAGCACCGGGTGGACATACCCGTACTTTGGAAAAAACACATTCACATTCATAAACTTACAATCTCAAACATATAAATGATACAATCACAACAGAGATTGATAAAAAAGACACTTTACCTACCTACTGTATCAGAATGCGATATTTAATCCTGCTTAAATGTTGATACAGCTCAACCACCCCGGGAGATCTCGCGTGAAGTAACAGCGCGAGACTTCTCACGTGGTGAGACGGTAGCTATTATGATCGCACAGTTGACGCGAGGCTCAGACCACTTTGATGGAAAGTATGGACTGAGGACGGGGGTCTAGCAACAGCCCAAATATTTACAGGTGCTCGTTATGCTATTGACTGCTCACTGGCACGACAGAAGCGGCAGGGAATATAGATACACGATACACAGTTCAAGATGAAAGTGTAAGATACACAAATACTTGTGTCCAATATAGTCGCCTGTCCGTTGGCCCGTAGCAGGTAGATTTCGTCACCGTTTAATATTTCCATGTCTCCTAAAGGCATACGGTTTCGTTTTCTTTGTCGTTTTTAATGAACTGAAGAGATTGGTAGTATCTGAAGACCGTGCATCATCATTGCAGACCGACACTTTGGTTTATAATTATAATAATAATAATAATAATAATGTGGGTATTTATATAGCATATGCTATAACATATGCTATGTAACTTTCTTAGTAAAGTACACATTCTCATAGTTTTGTCTTCGTATCCCAATTGCGGATCGATGTTCATGCTGTTCATCCCTGGATTGTCTGGTCCAGACTCGATTATTTACTGACCGCCGCCATATAGCTGGAATATTTCTAAGTGCGGCGTAAAACTAAACTCACTCACTCACTTTGTGTATGGCATACAGCTATCCTTGGCAGTGTACGTTATTTGATACATAGTAGTTATGCTGTTTCACTACTTATGTAATGAGTGAGTGAGTATGGGTTTACGCCGCTTTTAGCAATATTCCAGCGATATCATGGCGGGGGGACACCAGATATGGGCTTCACACATTGTAGCAATGTTGGGAATCGAACCCGGGTCTTCGGCGTGACGAGCGTACGCCGCAACAACTAGGCTACCCCACTGCCCCTAAATAATGAAAATGGACACACAGATACACTGGGTATAGTAATTCCCACTTTTATCTGATTTCATGAACAGGATTTCTTTCATTGACACTTGAACATACCGGGAGCCTCGTTCTCAGACACGCTGTAAGACACTAACCCTAGAGTCAAAACGTTGCCAATGTACAGATCGTTTCAACGAGCTGATGGCTTACAGGAGTCGTCTCCCTTAGTGAGTTGATTCAGTGAGTGGTACTCTTGTACAGCAGAGGCTCCAGAAAACACGGTGACCAGCGTGCGTGCGTGTATGCATGCGTGCGTGCATGTATGCGTGTACGCATGCATGCGTGTATGTATGGCATTGTATGTATGTATGTATGTATGTATGTGAATACTGATGGACGGACGGATGGGCGGATTGGTAGATATATGTTGTATGTGACTACGTGCATGCACGTGTGAGTGTGTGTGTGTATACTGAGATGGCTCTTCAACGACTTTTGACGATGCTTAGAATGCAGTCATTGCTCAGGTTTCAACTGCAATGACACAACTGTTCCACATACATCAACTGCACGTTCAGCCTTTCCCATACGCATACGCATTAACGAACGCATACAGCAAAGCGGCATACCAACGCTTGCGGGTTTTATCGAAATGGTGAACGTGTGCGATGTGCCTGTTCTTTGACTTTTCTCCAAGGTTAGGCTGACAGGCCGTGAAATAACCTGAATACTGTTAAAAACGGCGTAAAGCCATACTCACTCACTCACTATACGTCTGTATCAGTTGCAGCCAATGATTGAACTAACATTTTGAAATATGGCTGGCTACATTTTAAGAGACAGTGTGCTTAGAGTTAACGCCCTTGTTTGTCAAACATGGGAAGCCTGGTCATTCGGAGTCTCTTGTTTCTACACATGAACAGCACGAGATAATTCGAGACTATTTCGACCTGACCTGCGTCTAGTTTTATTTCGGAGTTGAGTATGAAGAATTACACACATTTCTTCTCCAGTCACCTAGAGATGACGTTACTGCCGCAGTTTACTGGGTCTTGTGAATAAGCACTAAGGTGATCGCAAGTCACTAACGTGACCTAGAGCAATGTTAAAGAATGGGAGTTAAGGTTAGCCTTAATAAAGGTTGCTTCGTGTAAGGATCCCCTGAACACTAGTCTGACTGTAGCTTCCTGAACACCATTAAACAGTAAACTACGGTTATAACGAACTGTCGGACATAACGAACTGACGGAAATAACGAACTGTCGGATATAACGAACTAAAGGAAATAGCTAACTGTCGGAAATAACGAACTGACGGAAATAACGAACAAACGGAAATAACGAACTGTCGGAAATAACGAACTGTCGGAAGTAAGAAACTGTCGGATATAACGAACTGTCGGATATAACGAACTGTCTAATATGACGAACTGTCGGATATGACGAACTGTCTGAAATAACGAACTGACGGATATGACGAACTGTCGGATATTACGAACTGACGGATATAACGAACTGTCTGATATGTCGATTTGTCTGATATGACGAACTGTCTGATATAACGAACTGACGGATATAACGAAATGTCCGATATGACGAACTGTCTGAAATAACGAACTGACGGATAAAACGAACTGTCCGACATGACGAACTGTCTGACATAACGAACTGACGGATATAACGAACTGTCGGATATAACGAACTGTCCGATATGACGAACTGTCGGGTATGACGAACAGTCTGACATAACGAACTGACGGAAATAACGAACTGACGGATATAACGAACTGTCGGAAATAGCAAACTGTCGGATATAACGAACTGTCGGAAATAGCAAACAGTCGGATATAACGAACTGACGGATATAACGAACTACAGTTCTGAGGAGCAACAACTGGTTGTCCCTTTAGGTTGGTTATAACCGTAGTTTACCTCAAACAAGACATTGTGATTGTTTCCATATTACGCTCTCAGGATTTCGCAGAGTGTTGTGGGTTTGGATTGGTTTGGAAGTTGTTTAACGCCGCACTCAGCAATATTCCAGCTATATGACGGTGGTCTGTAAATAATTGAGTCTGGACCAGATAATCCATTGATAAACAGCATCAGCATCATTCTACGCCATTGGGTGAGTGAGTATGGTTTTACGCCGCTTTTAGCAATATTCCAGCAATATCACGGCGGGGGAAACCAGAAGTTGGCTACACACATTGTACCCATGTGGGAAAGCGAACCCGGGTCTTCGGCGTGACGAGCGAACGCTTTAACCACTAGGCTACCCCACCGCCCCTCTACGCAATTGGGATACGACGATATGTGTCAACCAAGTGAGCGAGCCTGACCACCCGATCCCGTTAGTCGCCTCTTACGACAAGCATGGATTGCTGATGACCAATTCTTACCCGGATCTTCACGGGTCAGTGCTGTTGGGTGTGGAATAATGACGCAAGTAACAATGTAGAATCATGGTAGGGAACTATGATTTATATTCCCAACATTCAGCAACAAATGGAATTTTTGGTCAGAATACCATTCTTCGCTTCCACCTTCAGTATGACTTGACAAGATGGTCACATCCTATCACAGGAAGGGCCTCTCGCAGATGAAGCCTTCAGCGCTGGTGGCGGTGCCGGAGGCCCACATCCAGTCGGTGTAGGCGGCGTTACTGGCGGGGTTGACCATGTAGATGCGGTACTGGTAGGAGCTGCTGGTAGGCTCTTTCGGACCCCATCTCGTGTACTGGACACGCGCCATGTCCAGCCACGCCCACTCCTTCGTTGCCATGATGTAGTAGCCCCCCAGCCAGTAACAATTGGGATGAGTCGCCGCTGTCATAGTAACACACACGTCAGTACCTTATACGACAGGCTGTACAACATGGGCTGGTCAGTAGCTATACTTCATGGTACAGGGTTGTATCAACACAACAAGGCATAATACAGATATGTTCTACCTGTATTCCTTTGCACTCACTTGGTACAAGGTGTACGTCCTGTATTTCTTTAAACTCACCAGGTACAGAAGTGTACCAACTGTTTCCTGAAGCTCACCTGGCACAGGGGTGTATACGCGCTACCTGTGTGTCTTGGGACTTACGCTCTACATAGGTATATTACCTGTATATCTAGAAGCTCATCTGCTACAGAGGTCTAGCTGTATGTCATGACTCTCATCTGCTACAGAGGTTTAGCTGTATGTTTTGACGCTCAATTGCTACAGAGGTGTACTACCTGTATGTTGTGACGCTCACCTGAGATGGCGGTGTACTACCTGTATTCGTTGAATTTTACCCGTCACAGAGGTATTCGCCCAGTATTTGTTAAAGCCGATATAGTACAGTAGCTCTATGTCAACCTGGTAAAAGGGCGTACTCCACTGTATTCTTGAAGCTCACCTGCTACAGAGTTGAAGAGTCCCACAAGGAAGAAGTCCTCGGCCTGGTCGTTGACAGACGCGAGGTCAGCGCCACGTCGCTGGCAGTCCAGTCTGGCATTGTCCCAGGTCAGTGTCCAGTTGGCCATATAGAAACACGAGCGTGGTCCGACCACGAAAGTCGGGGGACACTCTTATAAATACAGAATAAAGAGGAACTGTTGTTAGAGACGCATAAGACCGTGATGGAAGATATCTATACAAGGATAATATTATTGGTATGTGACGTACACTGAAACTCACTACTTGTGGTGTGTGCTAAATAGAGAATACCTCACGAAGTGTCATTACATACGAATTATACGAAACGAGTGTCCTGAGTTTCGTATAATTCGTATGTTATGAGACCGAGTGTGGTATTTTATTTATTACCCACTTACATGCTTTGAATTGACAAAATAGCGTATTTTTGGTATTGTTATGGTTTCAAACCGAAACCGGTTTCATAAAGAGGTTGTGGAAGAATGTTGTTCTGTAGTACACTTTTTGCATGACGTCACACTGTAATGACGTCACTACGCTTTGCTCGTCTGCTCCGTTGGTAACCGACGTCACGATGCATGGCAGTTGTCATCGCCTCTCGTACAGCCTCCTACATTAAACTACTCCGTAGCACCCTGTCTTTTAGTTTGCAGTTGCTTCACTCGGCTAACATCACTGGTGGAATCTTTGCGTTTATGTTTTTCGACGCATATAATGTGTCAGTTCGACTCACAATTAAACAGCGACACGGCAACGTTCGCAATGTTTACATTCCCACAATGCATAAAAGTTGTAGAATGAATGAATTCACGTTTTTGTTATGAATGAAAAAGTAGTTCCGTCACAACGTGACCTCATTGAGAGGTCATCGGTTATCCAATCAAATCGTTAGAATCTCAGGTCAAGTCGTTACGACACAGGTCAACGCGATACGACAATCGTGTAACGTACGAGATTAGAATGCAACTACCCATACGTTGACCACGTGGGTAATAAACACTGAGACTCACTGCCTGTGGTATGTGATATACACTGACACTCACTGCCTGTGGTATGTGATATACACTGATACTCACTGCCTGTGGTATGTGATATACACTGACACTCACTGCCTGTGGTATGTGATATACACTTACACTCACTGCCTGTGGTATGTGATATACACTGACACTCACTGCCTGTGGTATGTGATATACACTGATAGTCACTGCCTGTGGTATGTGATATACATTGACACTCACTGCTTGTGGTATGTGCTATGCACTGACACTCACTGCCTGTGGTATCTGATATACACTGACACTCACTGCCTGTGGTATGTGCTATACACTGACAGTCACTGCCTGTGGTATGTGATTTTATACAATTATAGACTGGTAATGAGGTCAATACCTGTTTTATGGACCCGCGAAAAGCGATATTGACGGAGGACGAAGTTAGTTTTGCTTTTCGCGGGTCCATAAAAACAGGAATTGACCGAATTCGCCAGTCTATAATTGTTTTATTATGTAATTACCGAAAAAGGCTTCTAAAATCCCAAACATGTCCATTTAGTCAAGAAACATAATTTTACTTTCACTACAGACCAATAACGTTATGTCGACGATACTGTGACATGTAAACAATAGAATGACGTCATATATTGACGTGAATGACGTCATAGTTGACGTCATAGTAACTCAGGTCAATATGACTTTTGGTCGGATCTGGGTTGGAGTCAATATGCTTTTCTGTCGACGGTCACGTGACCGCCTCTAGACCAATCAGGTAGCCGGATAAATATGCTTGCATAATAACCAATGATACTCACTGCCTGTGGTATGTGATATACACTGACACACACTGCCTGTGGTATGTGATATACACTGACACTCACTGCCTGTGGTATGTGATATACACTGACACTCACTGCCTGTGGTATGTGATATACACTGATACTCACTGCCTGTGGTATGTCATATACACCGATACTCACTGCCTGTGGTATATCCCACTCCGGGGTGACTGGCGTTGTTCCGGGACAGAGACCCCAGGCACAGATGGGCGTTGCAGTCGTCGGCGTCACAGCACTCGAAGCATTGGTTGCTGTCATCCTCCACGTCCTCTGCTTCTCGTTTCCCCAGCAACGTTGCAGCGTTAGAGAAAAGCTGACAGCGCTGAAAGTATTCACACATAGTGTTAGACTGCCGTGTAAGTTACTGTTCAACAATGTTGTGGTTGTACTGTGTTTGTTGAGATTCAGTATAGGACAGAAGCGTGCAAGTTGCTATTTTTCGACGCTGTTTTACATGTGTCACAAGGAATCAATTAGACGAGAAGTGTATCACTGACATTCTGAAATGGCGTACATTCATGGAAGCTTGCGATGTTGTGGTACCGTTGTGAGAGATGAGCAGGTTTTATCTTTTTCATGGCAAAATAGGTTACATAATGAAGACATCACCACACCTGTTTATCCCAGGGATGGTAAATATTCTGTGTTGGTAGTACACGCTGTGTATTCCTGATACTGCATTTTCACAACAAAACCAACTCATGTGACCTCTTATAGAACCGGGTTTACAGCGCTGGGGATAAAACTGTAAGGAGGGAGTCTTACCTGCTTCTGTTCACACCCAAGATGGTAGCCCTGTTTGCCGTTGTGGTCCGTGAACTCCCTCGTGAAGCAGATCTATAAAACAATTTGGGACTGAGTGGATTATATAATTTACTACTGGATTATATAGGTGTCCCAACTAGTGGAGTATATAGGTGTGCCAACTAGTGGAGTATATAGGTGTCCCAACCCATGAGATTATATAGGTGTTCCAACTAGAGGATTATAAAGGTGCGCAAACTAGTGAAGTATATAGGTGTCCCAACTATTGGATTATAAAGGTCTCCCAACTACTGGATTATATAGGTGTCCCAACTACTGGATTATATATGTGTCCCAACTAGTAAAGTATATAGGTGTCACAACTAGTGGATTATATAGGTGTCCCAACCCATGAGATTATATAGGTGTTCCAACTAGTGGATTATAAAGGTGCGCCAACTAGTGGATTATATAGGTGTCCCAACCAATGGGATTATTAGGTGTCCTAACTAGTGTATTATATAGGTGTCTCAACCCATGGGATTATAAAGGTATCCCAACTAGTGGATTATATTGGTGTCCCAACTAGTGGATTATATTGGTGTCCCAACCCACTTGATTATGTAGGTGACCTAACTATTGGATTATATAGGAGTACCAACTAGTGGAGTATATAGGTGTCCCAACTAGTGGAGTATATAGGTGTCCCAACTAGTGGAGTATATAGGTGTCCCAACTAGTGGAGTATATAGGAGTACCAACTAGTGGAGTATATAGGTGTCCCAACTAGTGGAGTATATAGGTGTGCCAACTAGTGGAGTATATAGGTGTCCCAACTAGTGGAGTATATAGGTGTGCCAACTAGTGAAGTATATAGGTGTCCCAACTAGTGGATTATATAGGTGTCCCAACTACTGGATTATATAGGTGTCCCACCTACTGGATTATATAGGTGTCCCAACTAGTGAAGTAAATAGGTGTCCCAACTAGTGGATTATATAGGCGTCCCAACCCATGAGATTATATAGGTGTTCCAACTAGAGGATTATAAAGGTGCGCCAACTAGTGAAGTATATAGGTGTCCCAACTATTGGATTATATTGGTCTCCCAACTAGTGGAGTATATAGGTGTCCCAACTAGTGGAGTATATAGGTGTCCCAACTAGTGAAGCATAAGGTTTTCCAACTAGTGGATCATATAGGTGTCCCAACCCATGAGATTATATAGATGTTCCAACTAGAGGATTATAAAGGTGCGCCAACTAGTGAAGTATATATGTGTCCAAACTAGTGGATTATAAAGGTGCGCCAACTAGTGGATTATATAGGTGCCCCAACCCATGGGATTATATAGGTGTCCCAACTAGTGATTTATAAAGGTGCACCAACTAGTGGAGTATATATGTGTCCCAACCCACTGGATTATATAGGTGTCCCAACTAGTGAAGAATATATGTGTCCCAACCCATGAGATTATATAGGTGCGCCAACTAGTGGATTATATAGGTGCCCCAACCCATGGGATTATATAGGTGTCCCAACTAGTGGATTATATAGGTGTCTCAACGCATGAGATTATATAGGTGTCCCAACAAGTGGATTATTTTGGTGTCCCAACTAGTGGATTATATTGGTGTCCAAAGCCATTGGATTATGTAGGTGTCCGAACTATTGGATTATATAGTAGTTCCAACCGATAAGATTATAAAGGTGTCCCAACTATTGGAGTATAAAGGGGACCCAACCACCTGCTTATATAGGTGTCCCAAATAGTGAAGTATATAGGTGTCCCAACTAGTGGATTATATAGGTGTCCCAACTAGTGGATTATATAGGTGTCCCAACTACTGGATTATATAGGTGTCCCAACTACTGGATTATATAGGTGTCCCAACCCATGAGATGATATAAGTGTTCCATCTAGTGGATTGTAAAGGTGTCTGAACCCATGGGACTGTATAGGTGTCCCAACTGATTATATTGGTGTCCCAACCCATTGGATAATGTATGTGTCCCAACTATTGGATTATATAGGTGTCCGAACTAGTTGATTATATAGGTGTCTCAACCCATGGGATTGTATAGGTGTCCCAACTACTGTATTATATAGGTGTTCCAAACCAATGGGTAATACTGATGTTGACGCCAAGAGGATGATACTGATGTTACCGCCCAGTGGGTGATACTGATGTTACCGCCCAGTGGATGATACTGATGTTACCGCCAAGTGGGTGATACTGATGTTACTGCCCAGTAGATGATACTGATGTTACCGCCCAATGGGTAATGTTACCGATGGATGATACTGATGTTACCGCCCAGTGGGTGATACTGATGTTACCGCCCAGTGGGTGTTACTGATGTTACCGGTGGGTGATACTGATGTTACCGCCCAGTGGGTGATACTGATGGTACCGTCATGTGGGTGATACTGATGTTACCGCCCAGTGGGTGTTACTGATGTTACAACCATGATGTTACTAGTGGATTATATATGTGTCTCAACCCATGGGAGTATATAGGTGTCCCAACTAGTGGATTATTTTGGTGTCCCAACTAGTGGATTATATAGGTGTCCCAACTACTGTATTATATAGGTGTCCCAACCCATGAGATGATATAAGTGTTCCAACTAGTGGATTGTAAAGGTGTCTGAACCCATGGGACTGTATAGGTGTCCCAACTGATTATATTGGTGTCCCAACCCATTGGATAATGTATGTGTCCCAACTATTGGATTATATAGGTGTCCCAACTAGTTGATTATATAGGTGTCTCAACCCATGGGATTGTATAGGTGTCCCAACTACTGTATTATATAGGTGTTCCAAACCAATGGGTAATACTGATGTTGACGCCAAGAGGATGATACTGATGTTACCGCCCAGTGGGTGATACTGATGTTACCGCCCAGTGGATGATACTGATGTTACCGCCCAGTGGGTGATACTGATGTTACTGCCCAGTAGATGATACTGATGTTACCGCCCAATGGGTAATACTGATGTAACCGCCCAGTGGATGATACTGATGTTACCGCCCAGTGGGTGATACTGCTGTTACCGCCCAGTGGGTGATACTGATGTTACTGCCCAGTGGGTGATACTGATGGTACCGTCCAGTGGGTGATACTGATGTTAGCGCCAAGTGGGTGATACTGATGTTACCGCCCAGTGGGTGATACTGATGTTACCGCCCGGAGGGTGTTACTGATGTTACCGCCAAATGGGTGATACTGATGTTACCGCCCAGTGGGTGATACTGATGGTACCGTCCAGTGGGTGATACTGATGTTAGCGCCAAGTGGGTGATACTGATGTTACCGCCCAGTGGGTGATACTGATGTTACCGCCCGGAGGGTGTTGCTGATGTTACCGTCATGATGTTACTAGTGGATTATATAGGTTTCTCAACTGTTGGATAATATAGTAGTTCCAACCGATAGGATTATATAGGTGTCCCAACTACTGGATTATATAGGTGTCCCAACCCATGAGATGATATAAGTGTTCCATCTAGTGGATTGTAAAGGTGTCTGAACCCATGGGACTGTATAGGTGTCCCAACTGATTATATTGGTGTCCCAACCCATTGGATAATGTATGTGTCCCAACTATTGGATTATATAGGTGTCCCAACTAGTTGATTATATAGGTGTCTCAACCCATGGGATTGTATAGGTGTCCCAACTACTGTATTATATAGGTGTTCCAAACCAATGGGTAATACTGATGTTGACGCCAAGAGGATGATACTGAGGTTACCGCCCAGTGGGTGATACTGATGTTACCGCCCAGTGGGTGATACTGATGTTACCGCCAAGTGGGTGATACTGATGTTACTGCCCAGTAGATGATACTGATGTTACCGCCCAATGGGTAATACCGATGTTACCGCCCAGTGGATGATACTGATGTTACCGCCCAGTGGGTGATACTGATGTTACCGCCCAGTGGGTGTTACTGATGTTACCGCCAAATGGGTGATTCTGATGTTACCGCCCAGTGGGTGATACTGATGGTACCGTCCAGTGGGTGATACTGATGTTAGCGCCAAGTGGGTGATACTGATGTTACCGCCCAGTGGGTGATACTGATGTTACCGCCCGGAGGGTGTTACTGATGTGACCACCATGATGTTACTAGTGGATTATATAGGTGTCTCAACCCATGGGAGTATATAGGTGTCCCAACAAGTGGATTATATAGGTGTCCCAACTAGTGGATTATATAGGTGTCCCAACTACTGGATTATATAGGTGTCCCAACTACTGTATTATATAGGTGTCCCAACCCATGAGATGATATAAGTGTTCCAACTAGTGGATTGTAAAGGTGTCTGAACCCATGGGACTGTATAGGTGTCCCAACTGATTATATTGGTGTCTCAACCCATTAGATAATGTATGTGTCCCAACTATTGGATTATATAGGTGTCCCAACTAGTTGATTATATAGGTGTCTCAACCCATGGGATTGTATAGGTGTCCCAACTACTGTATTATATAGGTGTTCCAAACCAATGGGTAATACTGATGTTGACGCAAAGAGGATGATACTGATGTTACCGCCCAGTGGGTAATACTGATGTTACCGCCCAGTGGATGATACTGATGTTACCGCCAAGTGGGTGATACTGATGTTACTGCCCAGTAGATGATACTGATGTTACCGCCCAATGGGTAATACTGATGTTACCGCCCAGTGGATGATACTGATGTTACCGCCCAGTGGGTGACACTGATGTTACCGCCCAGTGGGTGTTACTGATGTTACCGCCAAATGGGTGATACTGATGTTACCGCCCAGTGGGTGATACTGATGGTACCGTCCAGTGGGTGATACTGATGTTAGCGCCAAGTGGGTGATACTGATGTTACCGCCCAGTGGGTGATACTGATGTTACCGCCCGGAGGGTGTTACTGATGTTACCACCATGATGTTACTAGTGGATTATATAGGTTTCTCAACTATTGGATAATATAGTAGTTCCAACCGATAGGATTATATAAGTGTCCCAACTATTGGAGTATATCGGTGTCCCAACTACTGGATTATATAGGTGTCCCAACTACTGGATTATATAGGTGTCCCAACTACTGGATTATATAGATGTCCCAACCCATGAGATGATATAAGTGTTCCAACTAGTGGATTGTAAAGGTGTCTGAACCCATGGGACTGTATAGGTGTCCCAACTAGTTGATTATATTGGTGTCCCAACCCATTGGATTATGTATGTGTCCCAACTATTGGATTATATAGGTGTCCCAACTAGTGGATTGTAAAGGTGTCTGAACCCATGGGATTGTATAAGTGTCCCAACTAGTGGATTATATTGGTGTCCCAACCCATTGGATTATGTATGTGTCCCAACTATTGGATTATATAGGTGTCCCAACTAGTGCATTATATTGGTGTCCCAACCCACTTGATTATGTATGTGTCCCAACTAGTTGAGCATATAGGTGTCCCAACTAGTTGATTATATAGGTGTCTCAACCCATGGGATTGTATAGGTGTCCCAACTACTGTATTATATAGGTGTTCCAAACCAATGGGTAATACTGATGTTGAAGCAAAGAGGATGATACTGATGTTACCGCCCAGTGGGTGATACTGATGTTACCGCCCAGTGGATGATACTGATGTTACCGCCAAGTGGGTGATACTGATGTTACTGCCCAGTAGATGATACTGATGTTACCGCCCAAAGGGTAATACTGATGTTACCGCCCAGTGGGTGATACTGATGTTACCGCCCAGTGGGTGATACTGATGTTACCGCCCAGTGGGTGTTACTGATGTTACCGGCAAATGGGTGACACTGATGTTACCGCCCAGTGGGTGATACTGATGGTACCGCCCAGTGGATGATACTGATGTTACCGCCAAGTGGGTGATACTGATGTTACTGCCCAGTAGATGATACTGATGTTACCGCCCAATGGGTAATACTGATGTTACCGCCCAGTGGGTGATACTGATGTTACCGCCCAGTGGGTGATACTGATGTTACCGCCCAGTGGGTGTTACTGATGTTACCGGCAAATGGGTGACACTGATGTTACCGCCCAGTGGGTGATACTGATGGTACCGTCCAGTGGGTGATACTGATGTTAGCGCCAAGTGGGTGATACTGATGTTACCGCCCAGTGGGTGATACTGATGTTACCGCCCGGAGGGTGCTACTGATGTTACCGCCATGATGTTACTAGTGGATTATATAGGTGTCTCAACTATTGGATAATATAGTAGTTCCAACCGATAGGATTATATAGGTGTCCCAACTATTGGAGTATATCGGTGTCCCAACTACTGGATTATATAGGTGTCCCAACTACTGGATTATATAGGTGTCCCAACTACTGGATTATATAGATGTCCCAACCCATGAGATGATATAAGTGTTCCAACTAGTGGATTGTAAAGGTGTCTGAACCCATGGGACTGTATAGGTGTCCCAACTAGTTGATTATATTGGTGTCCCAACCCATTGGATTATGTATGTGTCCCAACTATTGGATTATATAGGTGTCCCAACTAGTGGATTGTAAAGGTGTCTGAACCCATGGGACTGTATAGGTGTCCCAACTAGTTGATTATATTGGTGTCCCAACCCATTGGATTATGTATGTGTCCCAACTATTGGATTATATAGGTGTCCCAACTAGTGGATTGTAAAGGTGTCTGAACCCATGGGACTGTATAGGTGTCCCAACTAGTTGATTATATTGGTGTCCCAACCCATTGGATTATGTATGTGTCCCAACTAGTGGATTATATTGGTGTCCCAACTAGTGCATTATATTGGTGTCCCAACCCACTTGATTATGTAGGTGACCTAACTATTGGATTATATAGGAGTACCAACTAGTGGAGTATATAGGTGTCCCAACTAGTGGAGTATATAGGTGTCCCAACTAGTGGAGTATATAGGTGTCCCAACTAGTGGATTATATAGGTGTCCCAACCCATGAGATTATATAGGTTTTCCAACTAGAGTATTATAAATGTTTGCCAACTAGTGAAGTATACAGGTGTCCCAACTATTGGATAATATAGGTGTCCCAACTGGGTGTTACTGATGTAAGTGGAAGAGATTGATAATCCCATATGCACTTTACGCTCCTACCTCACCGTTTCCACATTTGGCCAGTGTCAGACATTGGAACGGCGCGTCTGTCTCGTGGCATTCGAAGCATCGCCTGTCTGAAGAACAGGAATAATTCCAGCAATGACACATATCTCCATGGTTTCATTCAGTGCGCGTTTAATCACCTCGACCCGAGTCCAGGGTAAGTTGTGCGCCATCACGGTATTAACAGCGGAGAGTGATGGTATATTACAAGGCTGATAGGACAGAGATGAAATCTACCACAGGACAGAGATGAGATTCTTCACAGGGCTTACTGGACAGAGATGAGATCTATCACAGGACTGATAAAGCAGAGATGAAATCTATCACATGGTTGACAGGGCAGAGATGAAATCTATCACAGGGCTCTTAAGGCAGAGATATCACAGGACTGATAAAGCAGAGATGAAATCTATCACATGACTTATAGGGCAGAGATGAGATCTATCACAAGGATTACAAGGCAGAGATGAGATCTATCACAAGGATTACAGTTCCGTGATCATATCTATCATAGGACACATAAGGCAGAGATGAATTCTATTACAGTTCAGAGATGAGATTTGTCACAGGACATAAGGCAAAGATGAGATCTGTCACAGGACTCATAAGGCAGAGATGAGATCTATCACAGGGCTTACAGGGCACAGGTGAGATCTATCACAGGATTCATAAGGCAAAGATGAGATCTATCACAGGGCTTACAGGGCAGAGGTGAGATCTACCAAAGGACTCATAAGGCAAAGATGAGATCTATCACAGGGCTCTAAAGGCAGAGATGAGATCTATCATAGGGCAGAGATGAGATCTATCACAGGACCTACAGGGCAGAGGTGAGATCTATCACAGGGCTTACTGGGCAGAGATGGGAGCTGTCACAGGGCAAAGATGAGATCTATCATAGGGCAGAGATGAGATCTATCACAAGATTCATAAGGCAAAGACAGGACTTACAGGGAGGAAATAAGGTCTGTCACAGGACTTACAAGGCAGAGGTGAGATCTATCACAGGATGTACATGGCAGAGGTGAGATCTATCACAGGACTCATGAGGCAAAGATGAGATCTATCACATGACTTACTGGGCAGAGATGATATCTATCATAGGGCAGAGATGAGATCTGTCATAGGGCAGAGATGTAATCTACCATAGGCATAGATGAGATCTGTCACAAGACTGATAAGGCAAAATCAGTTCCATCACAGGATGTACAGGGCTGCGATGAAATCGATCACAGGGGCTCTTAAGGGAGAGATGACATCTGTCACAGGACTTACAGGGCAGACAGGTGAGATCTATCACCGGATTTACAGGGCAGAGATGAGATCTATCACAGTACTTACAGGGCAGAGATGAGATCTATCATAGTACTTACATGGCAGAGATGAGATCTATCACAAGACTTACAGGGCAGACAGGTGAAATCTATCACAGGACTATCTATCACAGATCTATCACAGGGTTTACAGGTCAAAGATGATATCTATCACAGGGTTTACTGGGCAGACAGGTGAAATCTATGACAGGACTTGCAGGGCAAAGATAAGATCTATCACAGGACTTACAGGGATGAGATGAACTCTATCACAGGACTTACATGGCAGACAGGTGAGATCTATCACAGGGTTTACTGGGCAGACAGGTGAGATCTATGACAGGACTTTCAGGGCAGACAGGTGACATCTATCACAGGGTTTAAAGGGCAGACAGGTGAGATCTATTACAGGGTTTACAGGGCAGACAGGTGAGATCCATCACAGGGTTTACGGGGGAGACAGGGGAGATCTATCACAGGACTTACAGGGCAGACAGGTGACATCTATGACAGGACTTACAGGGCAGACAGGTTACATCTATCACAGGGTTTACAGGGGAGACAGGTGAGATCTTTCTCAGGGTTTACAGGGGAGACAGGTGACATCTATCACAGGGTTTACAGGTCAGACAGGTGAGATCTATCACAGGGTTTACAGGGCAGACAGATGAGATCTATCACAGGGTTTACAGGGGAAACAGGTGAGATCTATCACAGGGTTTACAGGGCAGACAGGTGAGATCTATCACAGGGTTTACAGAACAGACAGGACTTACAGGGCAGACAGGTGAGATCTATCACAGGGTTTACAGAGTAGACAGGTGAGATCTATCACAGGACTTACAGGGATGAGATGAAGTCTATCACAGGACTTACAGGGCAGACAGGTGAGATCTATCACACTGTTTACAGGGCAGACAGATGAGATATATCACAGGGTTTACTGGGCAGACAGGTGAGATCAATCACAGTGTTTACAGGGCAGAAAGGTGAGATCTATCACAGGACTTACAGGGCAGACAGGTGAGATCTATCACAGGGTTTACAGGGGAAACAGGTGACATCTATCTCAGGGTTTACAGGGCAGACAGTTTAGATCTATCGCAGGGTTTACAGGGCAGACAGGTGAGATCTATCACAGGGTTTACAGGGGAGACAGCTTACATCTATCACAGGGTTTTACAGGGGAGACAGGTGAGATCTATCACAGGGTTTACAGGGCAGACAGGTTAGATCTATCACAGGGTTTACAGGGCAGACAGGTGAGATCTATCTCAGGGTTTGCAGGGCAGACAGGTAATATCTATCACAGGGTTTACAGGGCAGACAGGTGAGATCTATCACAGGGTTTACAGGGCAGACAGGTAATATCTATCACCGGGTTTACTGGGGAGACAGGTGAGATCTATCACAGGGTTTACAGGGCAGATAGGTTAGATCCATCACAGGGTTTACAGGGTAGACAGGTGAAATCTATGACAGGACTTACAGGGCAGACATGTGAGATTTATAACAGGACTTACAAGGCAAAGATGAGATCTATCACAGAACTTACAGGGATGAGATGAACTCTATCACAGGACTTACAGGGCAGACAGGGGAGATCTATCACAGGGTTTACAGGGCAGACAGGTGAGATCTATCACAGGGTTTACAGGGGAGACAGGTGAGATCTATCACAGGGTTTACAGGGCAGACAGGTGAGATCTATCACAGGGTTTACAGGGCAGACAGGTGAGATCTATCACAGGGTTTACAGGGCAGACAGGTGAGATCTATCACAGGGTTTACAGGGGAGAGAGGTGAGATCTATCACAGGGTTTACAGGGCAGACAGGTGAGATCTATCACAGGGTTTACAAGGGACACAGGTGATATCTATCACAGGACTTACAGGGCAGACAGGTGACATCTATCACAGGGTTTACAGGGCAGACAGGTGAGATCTATCACAGGGTTTACAGAGCAGACAGGTGAGATCTATCACAGGGTTTACAGGGGAGACAGGGAGATCTATCACAGGACTTACAGGGCAGACAGGTGACATCTATCACAGGGTTTACAGGGCAGACAGGTGAGATCTATCACAGGGTTTACAGGGGAGAGGTGAGATCTATCACAGGGTTTACAGGGCAGACAGGTGAGATCTATCACAGGGTTTACAGGGGAGACAGGTGAGATCTATCACAGGGTTTACAGGGGAGACAGGTGAGATCTATCACAGGGTTTACAGGGCAGACAGGTGAGATCTATCATCACAGGGTTTACAGGGCAGACAGGTGAGATCTATCACAGGGTTTACAGGGCAGACAGGTGAGATCTATCACAGGGTTTACAGGGGAGACAGGTGAGATCTATCACAGGGTTTACAGGGCAGACAGGTGAGATCTATCACAGGGTTTACAGGGCAGACAGGTGAGATCTATCACAGGGTTTACAGGGCAGACAGGTGAGATCTATCACAGGGTTTACAGGGCAGACAGGTGAGATCTATCACAGGGCTTTACAGGGCAGACAGGGGAGATCTATCACAGGGTTTACAGGGCAGACAGGTGAGATCTATCACAGGGTTTACAGGGCAGACAGGTGAGATCTATCACAGGGTTTACAGGGCAGACAGGTAAACAGGGTTACAGGGAGACAGGTGAGATCTATCACAGGGTTTACAGGGGAGACAGGTGACATCTATCACAGGACTTACAGGGCAGACAGGTGAGATCTATCACAGGGTTTACAGGGCAGACAGGTGAGATCTATCACAGGGTTTACAGGGGAGAGAGGTGAGATCTATCACAGGGTTACAGGGCAGACAGGTGAGATCTATCACAGGGTTTACAGGGCACACAGGTGAGATCTATCACAGGGTTTTACAGGGCAGACAGGTGAGATCTATCACAGGGTTTACAGGGCAGACAGGTGAGATGTGAGATCTATCACAGGGTTTACAGGGCAGACAGGTGAGATCTATCACAGGGTTTACAGGGCAGACAGGTGAGATCTATCACAGGACTTACAGGGCAGACAGGTGACATCTATCACAGGGTTTACAGGGCAGACAGGTGAGATCTATCACAGGGTTTACAGGGGAGACAGACAGGTGAGATCTATCACAGGGTTTACAGGGGAGACAGGTGAGATCTATCACAGGGTTTACAGGGCAGACAGGTGACATCTATCACAGGGTTTACAGGTCAGACAGGTGAGATCTATCACAGGGTTTACAGGGCAGACAGGTGAGATCTATCACAGGGTTTACAGGGCAGACAGGTGAGATCTATCACAGGGTTTACAGGGCAGACAGGTGAGATCTATCACAGGGTTTACAGGGCAGACAGGTGAGATCTATCACAGGACTTACAGGGCAGACAGGTGAGATCTATCACAGGGTTTACAGGGCAGACAGGTGAGATCTATGACAGGACTTACAGGGCAGACAGGTGAGATCTATCACAGGGTTTACAGGGCAGACAGGTGAGATCTATCACAGGGTTTACAGGGCAGACAGGTGAGATCTATCACAGGGTTTACAGGGCAGGGAGATCTAGACAGGTGAGATCTATCACAGGGTTTTACAGGGCAGACAGGTGAGATCTATCACAGGGTTTACAGGGCAGACAGGTGAGATCTATCACAGGGTTTACAGGGCAGAGACAGGTGAGATCTATCACAGGGTTTACAGGGCAGACAGGTGAGATCTATCACAGGGTTTACAGGGCAGACAGGTGAGATCTATCACAGGGTTTACAGGGCAGACAGGTG